CCCCCCCCGGAAACTTTGCCCGCGGAGGAGCCGCGGCTCAGCCCTTCACCTTTGCCGTGGGCTGGGCCGTGCGGGGGGTCAGGCTGCAAGTTTGGGGCCAGCGACGGGGCTGTGACCCGCCTGTCCTCCCCCCAGCTGGTGATTAAACCATCTCTCGCTTTCGGTCCTACCCAAGCAGAACCATCGCCGCACCCGTCACCTCTGTTTTGTAAGGACTCTCGGGCTGTTTTATTGCCCGGCTTTGGGGCGAGGCGGGTGCCTGCACCCCACGCACGCACCCCGTGCACCCTCCTCGCCTCCGCTTCTCCCCCGGGGTGACGCTTCGAAGCCAGGCTGGGTCCTTTGCTGCTGGACACGGCGTTCCCGCAGCGGGAAGACCCGAAATCCCACTTTGGAGACAGCCTGGCGGCACATCCCGGCTGTGAGTTGGGTAAATCCGGGATTGTTTTCCTCCTGATGCATCCCAGCGTTGTCCGTAAGGGCAGGCAGCGCAGAGGGATTTGGAAACCCCCTAAGTTTCCTTGTTCTGTGGAAAACTCGTGTCCGGCAAGGAGGCGAGGAGCCATGGCGCAGGTCAGTCCCCTTTGACCCGTGTGGGAACTGGGCTGGCCGCTTGGCATCGCTGCCGGCAGCACCCGCTCCCTGGCTCGGCATCGTCCCTGCCTGGCTGGCCACGGCCAGAGTGGGGGGTCCCCCAACGTGGTGCACCCGAGGAGGTGACAGCCCCAACCAGCTCCTGTGCCGAAACGGTGGGCGAATGCAGCCCTACGGCCGGCACCGTGGCAGGGAGCAGACTGGGGAGGGCAGGCAGCCGACCGGGAAACTTGCGCTGCAGGTCCCTGCGCGGGGAGCGTGTCGGACGAGATTGCGTCTCGGGGAGGGAAGGAGTGGCCCAGAGTTTCAGTGAACGCCTTCCTCCTTGCCTGAAACTCCCCGGCGCCCTGGCAGGGACGTGGGGGCTCATGGCCGCGGTGGGGGGACGAGGGGGAAGTTGCATCCCCCCTCCCCCAGCTCTCCCTTGGGTGGCTCAGGGACGGCTTTTGGCTTTGGGAGCCTTGAGCTGGGTCACTCTTTCTGCCACCTGCCCCTTCCAGGGTGACATCCGCTGGCTCCTGCCAGCCTAGGTGTCACAGCAGCGTCCTTGCGTGCGATCCCTGGGTGCAGCCGGTGCCTGTGGGCGCCTCTCCCTGCTCTGCCGTGGCTCATGCGTGCCGCTGCCCCGAACACCTCTGGCGATGGGTAATCCTGGAGCGAGCCCGGGCTGAGTCAGGGAAGGCGCGTTGGGTCTGATTCAGGAGCAAAGAGACGCTCAGCAGCCACCTCCCACTCGCGGCGTCGGGCTGCACCCATCCGGCATCCCCGGTGCGTGTGTGCTGCTGGCGGGAGGCTCCTCCGGGAAAAGGGGAG